GGTTCGTGGGACCTGCGATCGGTTGTCCCAGAGGCAAAGCGAGGCTTGTGCTCATGTGACCGCATGCTTGGTGTGTCGCCGAGGTTGAGTCTCCGCACAGCTCTCAACTTGGTTACTTTACAACCCGCTGGGCGACCACGTGTTCCCTATCGCTATCAAAAGAGGACAAATATGGTTAGCTCCTAAGTGAGGATCATATGAATTTTGTGCATTTTCAAGTCCGTTACCCAAGCTCTACCATGCAGGAATAAAGGCGTTAGGTGTGACTGGCGTGTTTTCTCAGTTTTTTGCTAGTTTGGCAGATGAACGAAGAGCGGACCTACGACTGAAAGTGCCCTCTAGCGTCACTCATTCTTGCAGGTGCAGGCGGAGTTCGCGTTGTAAATATTTGACTATCGGATGATCGACTTAGGGTGCGGGGTAGTCGTCCAATAGAAGAGGACACTGTAGCCTAATAAACCACTAGAAACTCTCCCTTACCTCAGAGGATTAATCAGAGATGCCATGAACGAGGGCCTGGCCGCAGAACTATAACTTCGGTGCACAGCGAACCCTCTCGCTTTGCATAAACCGTACATGCAAACCTAGACAGGGTTCCACAAGGTCCATTCGATATCAGGCAACGCATTCCAGCATGTTCCTACTCACATGAAACAATACCTCGTCTATTTACCATAAATATGCTTGGCTAAATAATAAATAAGACATTTTAGAAGGATGTTGTACATATCAAAAGCCGAAAATGAAATGCATTACACGGTTTTTCTGATCAGTGCTTTTCGTTGGCCGTCAAAGCGACAATGAGAGTTACAACGGCAAATTACGTCCATTTTCGTGACTATGCATTCTCATTCAATCGTCAGCCAATGAACGTAGCCTGCGGAAGAGCGAATCAAAGGTTATTTTCATGGCAGCTTACACAGGCTCACTAAGGACTAGTTATCGATAAGCAAATTCTAATGATAGCTTTGACATGAAAACACTCTCGCGCTCCGAAGGAACTGTCTCATTCACTAGTTCGGTCCTTTTGAGAACTGAAAGTCCCCTTGAACTTTGACTTTTATGATGTTTCCGTCGTGGTTAGGTCAAAAATGCATCAAAAATCAATATTAAAATAATGCGTACTGCTTAAGTCGTCCGTTCGATTGATCTAATTGTGAAAAATTCGCGGCCTCGGTGGGAGTTGAACCCAGGCAACAGGGGAGGCTTTTGCGCAGCCAACGCTCTACCCTTGAGCTACGAGGCTCACCGTACGCCATGAATTTAATCACACATGGGTCGATTTTCTTGCCCAACTTTACTGCATTAATGTAATCCAGCAATACGGACGCAGTAAGCTGACTGCCAGGCAGGGATACGGTTCATGTATTCATTCAAGATAACAAACACCAAAATGTCCCTTAATACTTTGACTGCGACTCCCAAAAATAGCCCGTAGTTTGTGCCATCATTGTGTGAACCACATATGGCGCACGTCGCAGTCAAAGTGTTAAGTATTCCTTCGTAATTTAAAACGGTTCATAGAAGTTTGGTTAAAATTTCCTGAGACTAGTCCGTGACTGTACGTCGGGTTATCTTACCTTTGGTTTTTTACCGGACTACTAGTAGTAGAGGAAGAAAAAGTTAGAAGATCCAGCGCAAACCTGCTGCAATATAAACAAAACAACGTTCCTTACATCATCCCCGGATGAGGAAGAAGAGGAGACGATTTCTGAGACCAAAGTATATTCAACGTGTCATTCACTGCTGGTTAAAACCTTGTGTGGCAGCGGTGGAAGTCGTTCACGAAGATCAAACTGGCGGACGCTTGAAGCAAAAGATTTCCTTCTCTGCAAGAAAAAAACCCTCGTTAAGACTAGAACTTGATATGCTGGGGCCATTTCGATTTTAAGTCTGTTTTAACTTTTATGGGGTTCTCTTCTTAGGGCACAGAGTGCTAGGAGCGTGGCTACTTCATCGGAAGCCAAGGCAGAAGAGGCCAGAAGACTCTCCGAACAGGCTCGGACCATTGCCCGAGAATTCGCCTCTGATTTCATACAAATGGGTAGGTTCTTCTATGATTTAACTCACATCGGTTCAAAATCCACCTGAATATGCTTTATTAACTTGACATCATCCAAGACTTTCTGACCAGTATAGTTATTTACCTTTTAAAAGCACATTATTATTGCAGTAAACTTTTTTCGCGTTCTTAATTTGTTCGAATGGTTGACAATTTTGCCGTGGTCAAGTTATTAGAGGGTGGCTACCGTCTTTCAGTCAGTCTTCACCAACTTCCTTTGGGTTTGCTAATCAAACCTCATTGGCATGGCCGAGAACTTCGATCATCTGAGTTACCTGGGAGATGGCCAGTCTGGTTAGCAAGTCAATGATCCAGTTTTCGATGCTTTTACAAAGTTTAATTCCTCAATGTGTATGATGCATGCATTAACAAGAAAGGCGTTAGTTCGTTTCTCAAGGTGACAAAGATCCTTGACAGTTTTCCATGCGCTGCTCGAAAAGAGTCGCGAGCAAATAACTGAGGTGGATATTTGAACTAGATTTTGATGAGAAGGTTTCTGATAGGGCTGAACTTAATCCACTGCTGATTGATATCGACGTTTTCGTAAACCAACCTCCGGCATTATGTCTTCAGCAATGTCATTAACTGAACCGGATTCCTAATAAAAGAGAACCATAAATTCAAGGTAAGTACATGTAGCATCTGCAGTGCGTATAAAGAGCCTGCGTCGGGCATATACCGGCACCTCTTTACTCTACTACGGAGTCACGAGATCAGTTTATAGCCCACCCGCTACGGAGACGGGGTCCGCGATGCGTTCGCTGCCGAGGGCGAGAAGATCATGTGACAACAATCGCTGCAACATACCAAGCCAGCTGAGTCATACGCGCGGGCAACCAGCGTGCGCTCTTGCTTCGAGCACACATG